TGCTCCCCAAAACAGCATAAATGTTCCCATTAGTATTGCCACCCTCAGGTGACACCATGACAACCCTTGGCTTAACTTCAGCTCTCCTGTTGGGGTCCCCTTCCTACTGTGATTGTACTTTAAAGCCCTCTCAATCAGTCTTGTGAGTTTATGAACAAGGAAGCGTTTCCCCTGTCAGGACAAATGGATCATGTCAGGTCCCAGCATACCTTCTGTCTCAGACTTTCCATGGTTATAAAAAGCAATATTCTGGTAGAGGCACCAGTCCTGGAGCCAGATGTCTTGAGTTAACCCGTTTCTTCTAAAGCCTCTCCCTCTTACTGGGAAGACTGAGGAAAATGCTACCTGTGCTTGCTTTTGGGATATAGGCAGAAATGTAGTATTGCTTATACAGGTTGTGGAACTTCCAGTCCCATGTCTGGATATGCAAACTACCTGGGAAGTAAAATGATATTTGAATGTAAGGTAGCAATTTTAAAGTTTCACTTATGATTTTAGGAGGTGGAGTACGATAGGCATATCTATCCTACCACGTCTCATGCCACTTTGTCCTCTCATTCTGTTTTCTTTCTGAAATCTCACCTTCCTAAGAGATAGTTTTCCAAAAACTTAAAACATTTAGAAGGGGGGCAGCAGCACAGAGTGGTGTATCTGTTGATTCCATGTCAAAATAGAACATAAGAAATATTGACCTAACAGTTATAGATTGAACAAGCTTTCAAATTATCTTTAATTTCAGAGATGAGACAATTTTCAGACTAGATGATGACTGGAGTTGTTGGAAGACTTTTTTATTTTAACTGATAGATAAATCAATATTTTGATAGGCAGAACAATATGGGCTTAATATGTATTAACATGTTAATATCTTTTTCCTTATAATTTAATGATGTAGTGTTCCATTTTCTGGATTCTTCACTACTTGAAATGTCAGTGATTCCAAAATCAGCCAGATAGAAATTTTCTAACACAGTTTTGAGTATTAGAAAGTAAGCATTCTTTATTGCAGCATGCTGGTTTCTTATGGCCTGGGGCCCGGGGTCGGTTTGACCCTGGCTGCCTGCTGCCATAGGATTCCCGGATAGCACTGGGCTGATAAGCACAACCTGTCCAGGTCCCTTAGGCTAGCTGCCAGCCACAGGTAATTTTAGCAAGCAGCTCAGCTCTTAAGTCAGATCAGCTCTTTGGTGAATTCAGCTCTTTAGTGATTTCAGCTTATTGCTTGCTAAGTGCCTCGCAGATGCAGGGATGAGATAGAGAGAAGGCTGTATGAGGTTCCACAGAGGTGTCTTTATTGGCAGCTCCTGTGAAGGGGTTCAGTGACAGCTCTTCTGCCGAACTGGGCAGAAATGGGGGTTTATATAGGGTACAGAGGTGTTGGAAATTGTCCAATAGCCAGGGTCAGGGCGAATATGACCTATAATCTTGCAGAGAGATAAGGAGGGTCCGAATGCAGAAGAGAGGCTTCTTTGGTCCAGTCATCATGACTAGGCATTTCTTATTTTAGGCAAGTGACTGCCAGGGAGGCCTTGCAGGGCCTCTGGCTGCTACACTGGTCACTCAGAGGATCCTTCCTCTAATTGAGTACCCTGAGCGTCAAGTGAACAGTTTTTATCCTACACACTGATTACATATTCATTAGCTATCCCTGCTTACTTGATGCATATTTATTAGATATTCATTAGCTATCCCCACTTCCTTGGCTTTATTTTGCATAGTCACACCCCTTATCAGAAATCCTTATATGCTTCTTCAGTAGTCTTCAACATCCGGTGTCCTTTTTTAGGTGGCTGTTCCTTGAGCCCTGCTTTAGATTAAGCACAATATCATTGTTTTGCATAACTTCTACTGTGTCAACCTTGCAGAGCTGAGCTGGCATCCTGCTTGCATTTTGCATGACTTTTGTTTGCCTAAGTTACATCTTTTATCTATTTCTCCAAGGCTGTGCTGTTCTGTTCTATTGTTCTTATCAGAGTAAAATGCTCTTCTGTTCTAATGTCCTTATCATCAGCTGTTGGAATAACTCTTAATTCACCAATTAAGTATTAAAAGACTGATACTACTTTTTATAATGAGATACTTTTAAAATTATCCAAGTAGCTAGGATCTGGGCAGCCTAATAAACTATGCTAAACATTTTACAATTACTAATGTAACTGTAGTGTAGTATTGAGACTCATATTTATTTCTCCATATCAAGCCAAGTTTAACCATTCATTTTTATAAATTCATGCTTATTTATACCTTTCTTTTTGTATTTTGTGTAAGTAGAATTTTGTTGCTGTCAGATGCTGAAAATTTTTATAAATCCTATTTTCCTGTCACCTTGATTCTTTTTGTGGTCTTTTCCATCTCATGCTTTGTATTTTACGTTCGATAACTTTGGTGACTTGCAAATTCATTCTCAAGTGTATTTGATTATATGTAGTATCTTTCTGTTTGTAATATTTGGTTTATTCAGTCATTTGGACTGCTTCGGTGGTGACAATAGATAATGACCATCTGAGTTGAGTGTGTGGGGGAGAAGAGGGCTAAAGAAATTGTATAAAGCTGCTTTATTATTGATTGCCCTCATATTGGAAATAGCTGTTCAACATGCAAAATACAGTGAGTGATTATTTTATGCAGTGTAGTAAAGCTTAAATTATCATGGTGAAAATGGCATATGCATGTTGCATATCAATAAAAATTTAAATTTATTTGGGGTTTAGTAATATTGAGAAATTCAAGTCATTACAAACTTGAAAAAATAACTAATCTTCCTGTGAACATTTTTAGCTTAATGTGTATACACTAGTTCATAGCTTTAGAAGAATGACATGGAGAAAAAGCAAATAGATTTTTCTATTGTTTTAGTTACATGTATTTTATGATTGTTTTTATGATCAGTTTTATAGTATCCTATATTTTTTCTTTCAATAAAATTTATCCAATTGTAATAGGCCAAAGATCTATCATGTGTGCTTTTTTGATTACATTTGCACACACAGCTAACAGTCTATATGAAATGAGAAAACACATAATGTATGTTTTTGTTCTCTTCTGAATTACCTTCTTATCTTCAGGTTTATATTTCATATATGAATGCTTGATCTGTGTTGATGTTAACTTCTCTTTATTGAAATGTAACTTTCAATGACTGCAAAAATAAGAGCAATTCAAAGATATATTGAATTTTAGATTGTGTCTGTCACTACTTCTGTCCTGATCCTTCAAAATAGAATTTAAACCTGACTTTGGTAATTAAAATGTAAGCTTACCCATAGAAACATGTTACTGACTGGATATTTAATTTAACATGATGGTTCAGTGATTTGAAGTACAATCTGCATAGTCTGTGTTACAAAACTTTTTTTATTTCCTATTCCCGTCTTCCTAGAAAAAACTTGATTTCCACCATTTGAAATATCTTCCATTCCCCTTCCTTAGTTACTCTAGGACTTTGAAAATTATTACCAATAAAATAGCAATTTTCAGCCTGTTTGGAGAGCTGAGAAATACACATGTCACTTGAATGTGGAAAAGGGAGTGTACTCATTTGGCATTGTGGTGGGTTGACCTTGTCTGGTTGCCATGTGCCCACCAAGACCCCTTTCTCAGCCTCCAGCCCCCTCAGTGGGACTGGGAGAAAAATAAGGTGAAAAACTTGTGGGTCAAGAAAAAGGCAGTTTAACAAAGAAAAGTAAAGGCTGCACAGGGAAGCAAAGGAAAAACAAGATTTTTTTTCTCTTCTTCCCATGAGCAAGTGATGTTCAGATACTTGCTGGGAAGTAGGGTCTCAGTATGTGTGAAAAATGCATATTATATGATTGGCTCTTTGCAAATATTAAAATGAATACTATATGTGTTATGTTGGAAAGTTATGCTGTATTAATCTCTTTTAAGTAGTACTGTATTCTCTTTTAAGTAGTGTGGTAAATATAGTTTTTAGGCTATAGCATAATATTAAAATAGAAGCGATGTGATCTAAGATACTTTTTGTAACTAGTGCAAGGAATGGAAAAGATAATCAAGAAATTCTTCACATTATCCTATTTAGATAGAGATAACAGTAACAAGACACCAAGATTCCAATAAAAGAATTATTTCCTCCTTATCAGGAACACTCAGACTTTGAGGAGCCAAGAAAATTGATTTACAGGATGAAGGGGAGAAGCTAAAATTAAGCAGAAACACCCTCAGTGGAAAGGAAAGTTTGAATCATGTATGAGATATATGAATATGAAATAAACTATTGCTTTTAAGTGGTTATCCTTTGTTTGCAAGGTGTGCTTTGTGGCAGAGTGCAAGGCACCTGGACGTCTGGAATTCTTTGCTTTTTATTGTCTCTTATTATCCTAATTTTCATTACTATTTTCATTACTATTAAACTTCTAAAATTTTAACACAAGTGAATGGCATTTTTCACAGTATGCATAGTGGTTGCTTTGGAAGACAAATGTCTTAATAATTAATCCCCCCACCACCCCCACCCCTCCTTCTCTTAGCTTTTATTGCTGAGCACATCATACAGTATGGGATATCCCTTTGGTCAGGTTGGGTCAGCTTTCCTGGCTATGTCCCCTCCCAAGCTCTTGCCCACCCCCAGCCTACTGGCTTTTGAGGAATGGGGTTGGAGAGACAGCCTTGATGCTGTGGGAGCACTGCTCAGCAGTAGCCAAAACTGGTTGTTTGTCAACATCTTTCTAGCTAAAAATACAGAGCACAGCACTGTGAGGACTGCCGTGGGGAAAGTTAACTCCATCCCAGACATACTCAATAAATGCATTTTCAACTGATTGAAAGTATTCTGTGAAGTTTAGAATAAATAAATACAGTTCTGTGAATTTTCTTGACTTCAATGTATTTATTAGTAGAATTTTACTGCTGAAAATTAGATTATGATGTTTAACATTTGATTCTTATTATAAATCTGTGAGGAAATGTAGTGCGATTGCATGTCTCATACAGAGGAAAACCAAATTGATTTAACATTTTAAATATTTTTCTTATTTGAACAGTATTGCAGAGATCATTGAACATTATAGAAAAGAACAGATTGTTGAAGGATATTACCTTAAAGATCCTGTTCCAATGCAGGTAAAACTTCATCTCTGAGAGCTTGTTATTGAAGGTATTGACTTAGTCCTCAAATATTTATAATATAGGAACTGAATTACTGCAGAGGTATCCATTGTAGTTAAACAGCATCATCCCCTCCTGAATTTTTGTTTTGAGTTTGTGTGTTTCTTTCATTTTATTTTCATATGCATTAGTTTTATCTATTGGCTTGTAGTAAACAGAAGTTATAAGCTTTGTCTGTGCTCTGGGGTGTAAATGTTCCATCTTGTTCCCCTAACTCTGGTCCCTGAACTAGGCTGCTCTCTATTCTTCTGTGTCTAGTATCTTTCTTCCCTCAGAGAAAATCTATATGAACAGAAAAGCTTCAAAGATGATCAAGGGGCCAGGATTACAGGGTGTGTTCAAGAACATGATTGCCCTGTAGCATAAATTCATCCTAAGAGACCACTGATAATAAACTATATTGTCTAGTTTTTCATAAAGTTATAACTAGTTCAAAAGTATATTTTTATAATTTCTCCCTATATATTCTTCAACTTTCCTGTTTTGATGGTTAGAAATTTGGTTTTAATTTCTAACCTAAATAGTTACCCCTTTGTTAGATCTATTATATTAATTCAAGGGCATTTTATTTGTATTATACTTTAGTCAGCTCACTAAGATAAGCATACCAAAATCTGTTTTTTTCTCTTCATAAGATTCTTGTAGTTGCCCTACTACCACCATATTCCAGTGTGAGTTTGTGTTTCTTGAATGTAATGAACCAGAACAGCTCATAATATGATGTCATTAGTAATTATTTTTTTCTGTGAGTGTTTACCAGATTGCAGGTTATCTGTGTCATATCCTAAAACGTTATGTGTCATTACCGTACCCACATTGTATTATATTGTTTGCTATTGGAAAGTATCAACAAGAGCAAATTTAATCTTGTATTATTAGACTTATACCTTATTATTCTGACTGCTTGTTTTTCTTGTTTTTTTTTTTTTTTTTTTTTGCTGACTAGTCATCAATGCTTTCCAGTTTTCTGCTTCTATTAACTCATGCTCTTCAATGTGTTTGAGAGAAATGTGAGGAAACTTGAATTCAGAGACTGATCCTTGAAAAGCTTCACCCAATAACTTTCCTTGTTCTCTATCATTCTTTTTGGATTATGACGATCATCTTCCTTTTGGCACTTTGTCTATACAATTATGGTTCCTGTATAAATAACTTTCTCTGTGTTGACTAATTTTCCATGTGATACTGCATCAAATTATTTGACATTATTAAGATATATTTGTGACTTTCCTTTGTTAAAAAAAAAGATATTGGTGGTGTAATTACCACATACTGTCATCCTCTGTTTGTGAAGGAAAAAAAAAAAATAAGTCTTGCATGCTGTTGCTTCAATCTAATAGACTTCCTGTTTCTAATTTTGAAATTTACTTTAAAACATTTTTCACTAGATGTGTTGTTTTGTATGTCATTTTTTTCATAGATATGTTATAGAGATTATACTGAGTTAGTATAAACTTGGATATTGCTTCTATTGTCAGCCCTGTAATTCCTATTACTGAAATGTTTTCTTTCTTGCCTTTGTCATGTTGTTTAAAACCATGATTGTTATGGAATAGAGGAGACAAAAGTAAAGTATTTAATATGGAGCTAGTGCATATCACTTCATCTTGATACTGTTCTCTGCTTGATAGTCTTGCTTTTCATGTTTTCTTATGGCTAAAGAACTTTTGCTGATTAGCTGACTTGGTAAGGTCAAATTTGGCTTGGCTTTTGGCTGGGTAACTACATTTCCAGATCTTCATTTTATATGTGAATTTATCCTTTTTCAGTGTCCTGTTTCTACTTTCTCCTATTGCTTTTTGTTAGAATGATAGTAATTTAGGATATGAGTGCTAATAAGATTAGTGAGGAACTGTGCATTAGCTGTGTGTTAATAATTCAGTTTTTATTGTGATCTATACCATTCTTGTTGGTTCAGAGTTTATCCTTAATTACTCAGTCCCAAAATCCGTGGTAGAAGACAGTTAGAAGCTAAAGAACCTTTAAAGACTTGTGTAAATTTTGCATAAATTGTTGAAAGCTATTTAGTATTAAAAAACATAAATATAGATGATACTTTTTGAAAATTGGTCTGTATTTAAATCTTGTTTTTCTTCTCATTATAATTGTGGCCTAATCATTCCACAAGAAATAATTATATTACATTTTTGCCAAATTTATTGTATTAAATTATATTGGTTTGTTAAGATACACGAGAGAATAAGGAATTGGTAGCATTCAATAAAAGTTTGGTTACAGCTGCATAGTATGCAATTGTTTCACAGTGATTTCTGAGCTTAAAAAAATGTTGATTTCTTCCTTATTTACCAGCATCAAGAACAAGTGTTTAATGATACAGTCAATGGAAAAGAAATCTACAATACAATTCGTCACAAAACAAAGGATACTTTTTATAAAAATATTGTCAAAAAAGGATATCTTCTTAAAAAAAGTGAGTTCTGTTTGATTTTATAAAATGCTTTTTTTTCTAAAAAATGCAGACATGTATGCAAATTTTGTGTAGTAGTGGTACTAGCAGATGCAAAATTGAAGTGAGAAAAAGGTTGTTTATGACGGGCTGTGATGGATCTATGATAATCAAGTTGAAAATTAAGATTGAATGTTTTTCCAAAATGTACTGTGGTTAATGTATGAATTAGTTCAGAACCTTATTAGTTTTATTCGGTGGACATTAAACAATGAGTGATTTTTTGGTTTTGTTTTAGTCAATGGCTAAATACACATTTTACTGGTACATCTGTCTTCCAACAAATTTCAACATATAAATCTCCGGGTATTAACTTTTTTTAACTTTTTTTTTTTTTTAATGGTTAAATTATTTTATATATGTATGTTTGGAGCGTGGTTCTGATCCAGATTTGCATATACTGTATTCCCATTTCTGGTTTTTAGTCATTTTTATTTAAGATATTGTGATGCAATTTGTTATGCTGATCAGTTGGTAAGAGTTTAGGAATAAATTTCTCATGTAAAGAGAGCTCTGTTTCTTACTTAAAATAGTCATAATAAATGAGATTGCTTACAGCATCATACATTATTTGCAAAATATAGATGTAGTCTTCTCACTGATATGAACAGAGCTCACACACACTTGTTTAATCCTGTTGAGATTAATGAAAATGTTTAATGAATATGGCGGTTTCAGTTCGAAACCAGGCAGAAAGACCAATTTCATGTATTGGTTTTGGTTCGCCAATTTGGAGTTCCTGGCTAACGCACCAAATAATGTTGTGGGTTTAGTGCTGGCCCAATGCCAATGCACCCAATAAAATTATTTACTCATTTTCTGCTATGAAATAAGGATTTAGGAGGAGGAGCAAAGCAGGCTCAAACTTTAAAAGGTATAAAGAAAACTTTATTAACAGAACTAAAATTAAAAAACAATAAGAAATCAGAATAAACCTTTAAAACACTTTTTCTCCCCCCCAACTCCTCTTTCCTTTCCCCTGACAACATAAAGAAACAAAACCTGGTATTTTCAGTCAGTTTACCACCTCTAAAATAGTCTTTCTTTGGTTCACTTAGGGAGAGGAGTCTCTCTTGCCATGCCATGTGGAGACTTCTCCACAAGAAAGAGTTCTCTCATGGTTTTTAATTTCCACGAATAGCAGCTGAACGGGAATCTTCATTTGTGAAGTCCCTCCCATCTCTTGCAGCCACCCACAGCTGTGTTCCTGGGCCATGTCAACTTATTGGGGTGCCATTTTTAAGGATGAGCTGTTCTAGCATAAAAGCAAAACTTCTCTTCATCCATCTCTGGGAACAGAGGTCTTCTATTCCTGGGGCAAGGTTTCTCATCTCTCATTTCTCTCTGTTCAAACTTCTCATTTGATCACAGCTACTGCAACATCTGCTTATTTCAACACTGGTGCCTCTGTTCATGACTGTGGTTAGAATGCTACACCCCCCCAATGCATTTAATGAGTTACAGGGTAAGAGTCTGATGTATTAATTCTGTTCTTCTCCATAGCCTTACAAGAGGATTTCAGCCCAAAACTAAGGCATATCCTCATTCTCCTCCCATCTGAAATTTGACTTCTTCTTTACTGACCTCAGTGCCTCATGTTGTCTTCTATGTGTCTTCACTCTTTTCTTCCACTTGAGAGAGGATCGATGTTTTGCAAGTTTCATCTGTGCAGTGAAAGAGTTAATATTTCGCCCAGGCCTGCCGGTGGTCATGTGATCTCTGCTGGGCTGTGGCTGAAGTACTTATGGTGATTTATTTCACTTCGCTCGTCGCTCGGTAGGAGGGGGAAATGGCTGGAATCCTAGCAGTCAGGCTAGGGCTCAGCTGCAGCACGCCGCGGCCGATGGCCTTCCCTTCCCTTCCCTTCCCTTCCCTTCCCTTCCCTTCCCTTCCCTTCCCTTCCCTTCCCTTCCCTTCCCTTCCCTTCCCTTCCCTTCCCTTCCCTTCCCTTCCCTTCCCTTCCCTTCCCTTCCCTTCCCTTCCCTTCCCTTCCCTTCCCTTCCCTTCCCTTCCCTTCCCGGCAGCCACTGGGGCCGGGCCTGGCTTCGGTCGAGGCCCCGCGGCCTCCCCTCCCCCGCCTGGCCACCGGACCAGGAGGGGAAGAAGAACTTCTCCCTTCAAAGGCTGGAAGGAAGAGAGCTTTTCCCGGGCTTGTTAATTTTAAAATGTGAATCTCACAGAAGCGGATCTAGCTTCCTTAATGGTTTATCAGGTTGTCAGTTCTCAGAGCTAGCCAGCTATTGGTTTTGCTAGGCACAGAGGAAGCAGTTAACAGCTCCTCTAAGAAAAATCACTTCGGTAGGTGGGTCCAATGCAAAACCGGCACAGTGAACCATCAAAAATTGTGCTTTAATCTGTGAAGAGGGTCTAGTTTTTTAGCTACATGCTAAAAAAAATGTTATGTATACTAATATTATTGCTTAAACATAATTAACTGTATGTTCTTCTTCTGTTTTTATTTTGGAAAAAACTTGACTGCTCTCTTTTTTTTCTTCATTTACAAAATTTACATTTTCTTTAAAACAATATTGTACTTTCCTTACAGGTAAAGGGAAGAGATGGAAAAACTTGTACTTTATATTGGAGGGAAATGATGCCCAGCTTATTTATTTTGAAAGTGAAAAACGAGCCACAAAACCTAAAGGATTAATAGACCTTAGTGTGTGTTCGGTCTATGGAGTGCATGACAGTTTATTTGGCAGGTAGGGCACTGGCTTTTAATTCTTGTACATACAGCAGGACAGCTAAGTATTAGTTTGAGGCACATACAAGATGCAAACAATTCATCACTAATGAACAAGTTGGCCTGGCACAATAAACTTGGGGTTTGACACCTGAGCCCTGGTTACTGTCCATGTGTGGAGTTTTTTTGGTTGGTTGTTGTTTTAGTTTTTTTTTCTTTAGCTTTTGCTCATTGTGAAATGCAAATATTGTGACTCTTGTTTCATACTGCATTTTATTCCATAGTTGGTGTAGATTGCAAGAGCATATGTAAACGAATTTAACTGATCAATGGAAACTTAAGCCATGGTAACTTGATTACTAGTAACTGTTCATAAACAGCTTCTAGTAAGAAATTTTGGAATGTAAGATTTTCTCATGTAATATGATGTGATAATGATTTGGCCTTTTGCACTGTCATTTTTCAATATTGTGTATGAATTGTTCTACATGTATTAAAAAGATTTTGAAGCAGCTGTATTGAGTGTTTTAATCTGATTGAACCAAGAATTGATAAGATCAAGAATTTTGTCAGTTCCAAAAGATCTACATTCTTTTGTTGATAGGTATTAGAAAGCTAAATTAGATAATGTGTCAATGTTTTTCTATTTAGGAATCAATAAGAATCAGATTAAACCAACCAATGTTAGAGGAACAAGTTAGTTCATATAAGCAAACATTTTAAAAATTATTTTTTCAAGAGAGCATTTTCACCGTTTCATTTACTGCACTAAATATATCAACTGCAAGTGATTTGATTATTGGCAAAGACATTGAAAATCAAACCAATTCCTGATATCATTGGTAACTAAGATGAAAGAGATCACACTTTTTTCATTGTTAATTATAAAAAATATGCAGTCCTGTGTGATATAGAAGAAAAAGATGCATTTACTCCTGCAAATGTTGTTATTTTTTCATAACAGATGGGAAAACGCATTAAACAGCAGCTCTGCTTATTCCATGCATCTTAATATTTATTAAGAGTATTTCATCAACTTAAAGTTTTTTCACATAGATAATGTGAAGATAGATGTTTAAAATTAGTGGCATTTCTTAAGCTGCAAAGATCTGGTGTTCTTGTAGCATCTGATTTTTATATATTTTGCAATAATTTTGAAAGATCTGCACAACTATTGCAATGAGGAGCCATATATATGAGGGTACCATTTAAAAAAATACTGAAATATTCCTCATGAAGGTTGGCAATTATACACGAAACTTTGGGGGAGACTGTAAACAATGAGTGTTTTGGTTAATGGTGACTGTTGAGCAGCTTCTAATAAATGCTGTACTGTGAGTTAAAATATATTCGGATAATAAGTAACACTGAAACTGTGGGTAAAAGGAGATGTATGGTTGCACCTGCTTGGGAAAGCTGTTGATGAAGAACTGTAGTTGAGACAAAATTCCTCTTATTTTTACCACCTACTTAAAATATCTTTCCCCTTTTCTCAGTAGTACAGTGAGAGCTGTAGCTTTCCATGTCTTAAGTAGCTCCTGACCCAGCTACTTTTTGCCCCTCTCCTTAGTCCTCCTGTGTGCATGGCCAGAAAATGCAATGCCAGTATTTACCTAAACAATGGATGGGGGGAAGGGAAGACTGAAATATCATATGCAAGTGAAGTAAGATCCTTCATGTAACTGTTTAGGAGAGCCAAATTACCTTGAAGGTAATGTGGAAGACTCAGTGTACTTGTAGTGTGCAACTTTTAATGTAACAGTACAAAATATTTTTTATATTTCTTGGCAAATGAGTGTACATACATAAAATGGAGAAAATGTTATACTCACATTTAAAGCTTTAAAAGTTTCTATGACACATATTTGATCATGATCCAGTACACATTGTATTGGTTGTGAGAGCTGTGGAACACATTCAGATAAAGAATTCCTTATGTTAATATAGTTTCCTGAACTCCTAAAACAACAAATCCATAAGGCATAATTAAGTGCTTGGGATGTAATGCTGAACCTGTGCATAATTTAAAATGTTTGTAGTGAATAGTCCTCATAAAAGACTTGATAATGCTATCAGATGCATTTTGCCTCAAGTGTAAGTCAGTGTACATGTATATGCAATACAAATTGTTCCAAGTTCCTTAAATATTCTGAAACAAACTAGTTGAACTACAGTGCAGTTTTCTTGAAATTGCATTGTTAATTCCAACCAAAATGCACTTTTGAAGCATGTAGAGACATTTCTTTTTTTTTTCCTGACATTTTTGTTTTGTTTGATTTTAAGGCCAAACTGTTTTCAGATAGTAGTTCAGCACTTCAGTGAAGAACATTACATCTTTTACTTTGCAGGAGAAACTCAAGAACAAGTGCAGGTGAGAGCTTTTGTTGATAAATATAATTTTAAAATCAATTTTTTGTTTTGTAGTGTTTAATGATATTATCCTTCTCTAATAGAAAGCAAGTGTACAATGTATGGTGGCTATGTCTACATTAACAAATATTTCCATGCAATAATAGCAGATCTGTAAGGGATATAGTTGGTGATGATAATCCAGCACTTACATTACCTATGATTTAGGGATTCTACTTTGGAGAAGTTCTAGTCTGGTCCCATGGATTGAACTTCCATTAGTTTCAATTAGATATTTCTGGAGAATATATTTTGGAGTAATTCAGTGAAAAAAAAAAGTTCACTTTCCAGCACTCTTCCAACTAATGAACCAGAGAATGGTAAGTGGCAGTTTTGCTTCAAGAGCACATTCCTGATAAGAACTAAAATGCAAAGGAGGTATGCCCACCAATCAAAACCTGTCAAACCATTTACAGTTATTTGTCCTGTCTTAGGCCCCGATCTTGCATAAAATAAAGGGTTGTGTTTTACATTGGTATAATTTAGTTATTAGCTCTCTTAACAGTTAACGTTTGCTGATTAAGAAATGTAGGAATGGAGTTTAATTCTGTAAAAGTCACTCACTAATAGGAGAGCATATGGAAGATGTGACAATGTTCTTATTCATCAAGTTGTTTTGGTATTCCAGAGCTCTGAAACAGACATTTTGTGTCAGAAGTCAAGCTATGCATTTGATTTTATTTAATAATGTGTAGTAGGCAGAATATCCTGCCAGGACATGCAGAATATCCTGTCCTGTTTTCTGAACATTTGGTATAATCTGCTTTTGGTTTAGATTTGCTTAACAGTTAAGATGTTCACTGCATTTATACAGAATACTGGGATTTCTTTTATAAAATGATTCTGGTTCGGGTAAGTCAGATGTTTTACTGATGCTTATGTTTTCAGAAGTTACAGCTGTCTGTACTTTTTAACATTTCACAGAAGAATAGTTTTGTTGTCATGCTAAGGAAAATTGTATGGTTTTCATATAATATGGTAAATATCAAAGCAACCGTCCAATGGATTGCATGTTGTCTGAGGTTTGTACCAACCATTATATCAATGTAATGTAATGTAGTGTTAGCCTCATGACATAGCTAGTGTCATTGTGCATACTATGGTGCACTGTTCATACTTGCTGCTGTAAGCTGTGACATTTAAGGGGATAGATTTTTCTTTTAAAAGGGAGAATAAAGATGACTGTATCTCGGAAACATTTAGATTAATTTAGAGTGTTTAGTAAGTTCTATGGTTCTTCATTTGCTTTTTCTTATTTGAATAAGAAAGCAAGCTAATAAAAATTTGATGCATAGTTGACAGGTCTTTGTTTTGAGGAAGGTTTTGAAAGCTTAAACTTCACTCCCAAAGTGGTTTACTTGAGAATAGCTGCAATATTGAATGTAGCTGTATTTTAAAAATTATTAAATTACACTTTGAGAGTAGCTAGCAGATCTTTGACCTACACTTTTATAAATGTTAGCCAAAGCCTAAATTTTGTGCTTCATGAGAATTTACAAAATTTGACGGTGTGGGATGTGAAAACATGAGAAATGAGGCTATAGCATATCTCCCACCTTCCCAAGTATCTACTCTGCTTTATGCATTTGGGAGCAGAGAGGATGGGGGTGAAGGTTATACTTTTCAGTGTTTTTCTGTTAATGCTGCTTTGGTTTTTGTTTGAAGCACACAGAGTAAATACAACTGCATATAAAAATAGAGGAGAGAATAATCAGAACAGTTTGACTTATCTATTATTTTCTCAGAAGCAATGAAGTCTTGCTTCATTTTATATACCGTTTTTTATTTAATTAAGTATGACTAATCTGGAAAATTGATAAAGGTCACTGTATATCCATTAGTAATGCTTGATATTTCTAAAAGGAGAAACTCAAATTTGCAAATGTCTTTTTAGATTTACTGAGAAATATATGAATTTTGCTTTACTATTTAAAGTTTCATACTCTGAGTTGTATACAAGTTGGTTCTTTTTAACCTAAAGAAACATCTTCAGATACTTTTTGATATGCCAGTTCTATTGCAAGATGTTGTATCTGACTTCTTGCTACACTGTTTTGTGCCTTTATCTTTTAGGACTGGATGAAGGCTCTGCAGATGTTTTGCAGTTTAAAGAAAAACAGTCCAGGGGCATCAAATAAACGTCTACGTCAGGTGAAGTTATATAGATATGAGGAAGGGGGGAGGGGGGGAAGAGGGGGAGAGGTTGCCTTCTTGTTACAAAATTATGATATATGTCAGAACTTTCCTTTCAACAATAGTAAATCCTGTATGTGCTTTCTTTTTCTTGGAGTTATACAGTACCTTTGTTAAACCAATGGGAATGACTTCCATTCTATTATGAAATCTATATACACAATGATCAAAATGGTGTTTAGGCAATTGGCAGATGTTTTGCTAGGTATTAATTTCTGATCACATTTAAGTAAAAGTGTCAACAATTCAGCATTTCTATTGTCTTAACTCTTACGGTTCACCGGATTTGACAGACTTATGTCACATGTAACCAAAATAATAGTATAACTAATATATTAATTTTTCAGTGACAAATACATGCTTAACTGTGATGATGGTGTATATTCTTTTGGTTTCTTGAGAGTACTGTTGTTTCCAAAATTTCTTTCAGAGGTAGAGGACAGATAATCATAAATGACTCCATAAGTGATAATTGAAGAATAATGGGAATCAAGAATCCCTGGTATCTTTGAATGCTATGAATGTTGGAAGTAGCTGTTTTACCAGTCTGTAGGAAAAGGAATACATTTTATGGGTGAGGTTTTTTTAGGAATTGCAAAATTATTCTGTGGTCAACATTAAAGATGATTGAATACTTCTGAAAAAGTAAACTAAATTAGGTCAATTGATATATGAATGGCAGAAGAAATTTGGAGCCAAACCAGCAAAGCACCTACAGAGTGATCATCTGAAATAATTCTGTATTTGCAAACACAAAGCAAATATTAGGCTGCATGAATAAATAGTATAGAAGATAAATGCTATTTCATATTTATGGTATTCTCATTTAGGATACAGCTAGTGTTGATCATCTTATATCAAATGTACAAAGAAAATGAGAAAACTATAGACTGGAATGAGTAAAAGAATTTCCAGGTAAATTAGTGTGGGAAGTATTGAACTATTTAGAGAGGTGAAAACTATAAAAAGCATGAATGATCAAGGTAGATGAAGTGTATAAAGATCAAAAATCCTACTTCCATGACTGCCTTACAGATGTTATATCAGTTTCAGGGTTTCTCAAATTGTCCTTTGAAATTTTGGGTACTGAATATTTGCATTTAAATGAAATTTTGACCTGATTAAATATAATATTTCCTGTATTTTACTAAATTGACTTCAGTTGATATCTGTAGATATTTGATTAAGCTATGAATTGCATGCAATTCATAAGTTTGTAAAATAGTAGACTATTTAAAATGTATTTAATATAAATGAGTTCAGAGTGTTCACTTCTCATTTTTTGGAAATTGAGTTTCCAAGTGCTCTTTTTTTGAGAATCTGTGGTACAGACTAATATCTTCCTTATAATAGGGAGAAAACAGTGTTGTGTGTTAAACAAAAGAATTTTATGTAATTTACTGGTTTTTAGAATATAATAGAATAGAATATTTCAGTTGAAAGGGACCTACAACAATCATCTAGTCAAACACCCTGATCAATTCAGGACTGACCAAAAGTTAAAGCACAGTATTAAGTAAGGGCATCATCTAAGTACCTCTTAAACACTGATGGGTTTGGGACATCAACCACCTCTCTGGGAAAAGCCTGTTCCACTGTTTGACCACACTCTGGGTAAAGAAATGCTTCCTAATGTCATCTAAACCTCCCCTGGTGCAGCTTTGAACCATTCCCACAGATCCTGTCAGTGGATCCCAGGGAGAAGAGCTCAGGACCTCCCTCTCCACTTCCCCTCCTCAGGAAACTGTAGAGAGCAATGAGGTCACCCCTCAGCCTCCTTTTCTCCAAACAAACAAACCCAGTGTTCTCAGCTGCTCCTCATAGGACATTCATTCCAACTCCTTCACCAGCTTTGTTGCCCTTCTCTAGACTCATTCAAGGACCTTCACATCCTTATTAAATGGTGGGGCCCAAACTGCACACAATACTTAAGGTGAGGCCACTCCAATGCTAAATACAGCAGAATAATCATCCCTTTTGACTGGTGGGTTATGCTGTGCTTGATGCACCCCAGGATGTGGTTTGCCCTCTTGGCTGCCAGGGCTCACTGCTGACTCAAATTGAGCCTAATGTGTTAGGAAAGCATGAAATGCAGCATTGTGTTTGGATTTGTCCATGGTTCTTACTTAAGATATGAGTCTTTAGCTTCAGCAGAATTTTCTATGCATAGAAAAGTTAGTAATTGCAAATCTTATAGTGATGGTTTTTAAATAAAAAATAAAGTAAAGCTATGGTGCTGGAGGTTTATTTTCAAGTTGTTGCTCTTACTTTGTCCCTGGTGCATTTTAAAATATTCTTTCCTTATTCCTCTTCCCTTCTTCCCTTCTCTTTCTATTAGGAAGGTATATTTTGTATTTAATATTTATTCCTTAACATTAAGTCTCAGCACTGGGGGGGTGGGGAAAGAGAATTCCATTCTTTCTTAAATAAATAAAAAAACTTTCTGTATTTTTTTTAGGTCAGCAGTCTTATCTTGCATGTAGAAGAAGCTCATACACTCCCAGTAAAACATTTTACTAATCCATATTGTAACATCTACCTGAACAGTGTCCAGGTAGCAAAAACACATATCAGGGAAGGTCAGAACCCTGTATGGTCAGAAGAATTTGTCTTTGAGTAAGTCTTAATCTTATTGAATTACTGAATTTCACTTGAAAGTTGCATTGCATTTAAGATTCTTTGCACTGTACTGTTTTGTATCTGCTTTTTAAAAATACTGTATGCATGGTTATATAGGATCCACAAATGCATTGACAGAATTTTATGTATGAATCTAAGTATCTTTGGCTGGTCATGATAACTTAAGATTGAAATAACTTTAGAATAAATTTAAATGTTAGCCAAATATAGTATTGATTGTGACTTTTTGTCTTTTTCCCCAGTGATCTTTCATCTGATATTAATAGATTTGAGATAAGTCTTAGTAACAAAACAAAGAAAAGTAAAGATCCAGATATATGTAAGTATTTTTATGTAAAGGATGCATATATACTTTAACAATGCATAGAGTTTGCATTGCTCTTGTCAAACATTGTCACAAGACAAGTATATTCTATGACTACCATACAGCTGTATTGGTATGTTTTAGATGTCTGTTACTGATTTTACATTAATGTTTTTACAGTAAGAACCTGCATGTTTTTTAGTAGTAAAATGCACAGTAGTCCAATATATCTGATGGCTTTTCTAGCTCTATTCCAGTATACCTACTGTGTTACACTGTGACCATGTTTACAAAAAAAAAAAAAAAAAAGAGGAGCTGTCAGAATTAATCTCTTTCATAAAATGTTAAGTTTTGTTAAGATGATTTCATTAATTTTTTTTGAAGCTCAACTGTGTGGAATTACTTTTGTCCTTCTCAGGATTTTTTTGTTACTTCCAGTGAGAAAGAGGGAGAAACAGTAGTACTTTCCTCACTTGAAAATAAATTAAACTCCAATTTGACAGTCTGTAGAACAAAACTTGCCTCAGTCCTTGTAGCATCTTGTTCTTCCCCCCATTCTATCTCATCTGTGTTCCCAAGAGTGTACTTTCCTCCTGTTATTTACACATCTTCTTCAGCTGTTTTGTTTCAATTTTCCTATTTCAGAAAACTACTAACAAGATGGTAAGACTTAGCAGCTTTCAAAAAACAAAACTAAACAAAAAACCCCAAACCCAACCCACCAAAATGAACCCTCCCCAAAAAACCCACACTTGAATTCTGAGCCACACAATGTGACTTTTTGGCTTTCAAAGTATTTTGTTTCCCACCATAATTGTCTTGTAACTTCATCCCTTTGCCTCCTCTCTGTTGCCTGCAGAACAGACACCCTCACACCCAACAGTTGTTCCAAGTACGTTTCTGTTGTGTTCTGACCTGTCCCAAAGCCTAGCACAGTACTGATAATCTATTTACTGATAATCTATTGCTGTTGGTTTTGATTTGCATGGTATTGTGTTACTGGCCTGTTATATTTGCCTCCATGTAAATTTGTTTCTCTTTTTTTTCCTCTCAGAGAAGAGATTTGTAGGGAAACTTTGACAAAAGTAAAATAATTACTTTGAAGACTGAATGCTCTTGCCAAACCTAATTCAATTTCAAAACTGTTGCTCTTTCCTTTAACTACGAAATTTTCTGTGTAGCAAAAGGAAAAAAAAGATGTATTTCATTTGACAGACAAAAGGACTTTCTGATTGCAATTGTGACTTCGTTATTGCATGGTTCTATGCATTTGAGCTAGAAAATTCTTTATCTTGTCCAAAGCTTTGGTTAGTAAAAGACCGTTTCAAAGGAAAATTCATGAATGGGATACTTCAGTAACTTCTTTTAAAGTGTTTCTGTAGTTTCCTTCTCTTTGTCCAGATTAAGGAGATTGTGCTACTTTTAGAGGTATCCATCTGGTGGAAGGTTATAGATTTTTTTCTTATCTAGTTCAAGAGGATTGGCAATGTTTTTTGATCATGGTTAGGTAGACTCTTAGAGCATAACCTAACAGTCCTTTCATTTTGGGATAAGAATTAGACAATATCAACTTGAATTAACAAGCATATCTGCCTGCATCCCCATCCCTATTAAATATTTGAAGTATATGGAGAGAAAAACTGAGCTAAAAGAGACCATATCCAACTTGTCTTCGTGCAATGTTGCCTAAACCTCCAAAAGCAAGTAAAGGGGTTGATTACCTTTCTGAACATTTCTCCTATGTAGCCACGATTTTTAAAAGTGGATTGCTCTGAAACAGGAGTAATGTCAGAGCTATATTTTTTTCAATATTTGTGGTGAGTTGACCTTGTCTGGCTGCCAGGTGCCCGCCAAGCAGCTCTCTCACTCCCCCTCCTCAGGGGGACAGGAAGAGAAAGGATAAGGTGAAAAACTCATGGGTCAAGATAAAGGCAGTTTAACAAAGAAAAGCAAAGGCTGCACATGGAAACAAAGGAAAACATTTATTCTCTACTTCCCATCAACAAGTGATGTCCAGACACTTGCTGGGAAGTAGGGCCTCAGTATGCATAGTGGTTGCTTTGGAAGACAAATGCCTTAATAATGAATGCCCCCCCCCTCCTCCTTTTTCTTAGCTTAGTATTCTTCTTAGTATTGCTGACCACAACACCATGGGATATCCCTTTGGTCAGGTTGGGTCAGCTGTCCTGTCTATGTCATAGAATCATAGAATGGCTTGGCTTGGGACTTGAAAGATCATCTAGTTCCAACCTGCTGCCATGGGCAGGGGCACCTTCCACTAGACCAGGTTGCTCCAAGCCCCATCCAACCTGGCCTTGAACCCTTGCAGGGATGGAGCAGTCACAGCTTCTCTGGGCAACCTGTTCCAGTGCCTCACCACCCTCACAGTAAATAATTTTTTCCCAATATCTAATCCAAACCCATTCTCAGTTTAAAGCTATTACCCCTTGTTGTATCTCTACAATTCCTGATAAAGTCCCTCCTCATTATTCCTGTAGGCTCCCTTAAAGTACTGGAAGGCTGCTATAAGGTCTTTCCACAGTTTTCTCTATGTTAAGCAACCCCAGCTCTCTCAACCTTTCCTCATAGAGGAGCTGCTCCAGCCCCCTGATCATCTTGGTGGCCCTCCTCTGGACCCACTCAACAGGTTCACTTCCTTCTTATGCTTGGGGCCCCAGAGCTGAACACAGTATTCTGTGTAGAGTCTTATGAAAGCAGAGTAGAGTGGAAGAATCACCTCCCTTGACCTGCTGCCCACGCTGCTTTTAGTGCAGCCCAGGATGCAGCTGGCTTTCTGGGCTGCAAGCGCACATTGCCTTTGTCTCTCCTTTCAGCCAGAGGTTTATGTCCAAAAAGGAGACAGAGGAGTCCTGTAACTTTATTCAAATAAAGGGAGAGGTCATGAGTATTTCCCATGGGGTCTCTCAAATTTTTGGAGGATGCAGCCTCCTTTTTATCCTAATTTCCTGACAGCATTTCCCTCTCTTTTCCCATTGGCTGAGGTACTTGAGAGGTACAGGCTTCCCAAAACGCCTAATACCTAAGATCCCCTTCCAGTGTATCCCCCCCCCCCTTTTTTTTTCTTTTCCTTGTGTCACTCAGTGGAATTCCTATGGAATTTATGGTTCTTTCCATTGTTTCTTTCATCTCTCAGTATCCAGATTTATTTATCAGCAAACCTACAGTTTGTTTGTAAAGACAAATCTCTCTCATTCCATTTATCAATCAGTGGAATCCTTCCCATTGTTTCTTTTATCTCTCAGTATCTAGTTTTATCTACTAGCAGACCCACTGTCCCTAAAGACAAATCCCTCATTCCTTTCAATGGTTATTCTGAATCCTGCATCTCACTGTTCCTGTCAATGAGATACATGCCTTATATGCACAAGCCAAAGAGAAGAAAACATGTTGCTCAGTTGAGGGTGTGAGAGCTTTGCTCAGAAGAAATATTTTGGGAAAGTCAATTGATTATCTGGTGTAAAGACAGTCCAGTCCACACTTGTGATAAGTAGCAGATGATGATGAATTGGTATATCCACTACCTGACTGACTTAAATGTGTTACCTTATCAATTCATCAACCCCAAAGAATATGAGATATTAAATCTATATTAGAAATATTATGTCATTCTGTTCCATTATCTGATTATGCAAATGATGACCCAACATACTGCAGAATTGGGGAAGGAAAGTCAGCTAGAACTGTTCAAAGGTTGTGCAGAAAAGTGAAAAAGAAGTGTGTGATAGTGTTTTTGATTGTTTTGATTTTTGGGGGGATGATCGGGTGTTTTTTTGTTTGGGGAGTTGTTTTGTTTAAATGTGAGGGACTTGATTAAAAGTAGATTTCATCAAGAGATGCAGAAAAAAAGTGTTTGCTTAGAAGTTCCAGTCTGTTCAGGAGTGCATGTGCTTAATTTGGAATGGTCAGTGGTCTGACTACTGCAGCTTACTAGTTGACTGTCAGATCAGACCTTCAGTTATGGTTGAATAGGCTGGTGCAGGTCATTACTTAGTAATTTTAAGGTACCAGCACCACCAAAAAAAGTGAATTAATGTTTTTGTCATATGTAGTTGACTTGTCATTATTTGGGCAGTAACCTGTCTGGGAAGGACTTCTTATATGTTTTGCATAAAATGCTACAGCATTAAACTTGAGAGTTTCAAAGTATTGAAGAAATACATCTGACAACATTTGGGAAAGATGTAGTAAAGCTAAAACTAAAGACTAAAAATGGTAACAAAGAGGTTCAAGAGCAGACCTGATAGAGGTATGAGCCCAGGGCTTCAAAAGAGGATAGTGAATTCTAATCATTTTACCTGTTTTAATTTTCTAATTGCTGTCTAGGTTTGCTAGGTAGCTGAGGGAGCAGAGGGGCTTTTTCCCCTGTATGGGCATTAAAAAAAACCTTTTTTCATATCTCTGGGTATGCATTATTTACAGCATGCTTTATATTTCAACTTCAGTTTTCAGAAGTCTGTTAAACCACCTAAGAGATAATCTGATGACACAAAATTTGATCATTTTTATTAACATTCTTTTGCTGAAGCAAGGTGACATGCTGAAATTTTTTTTTTATTCAATGCTAGCACTGTTTTGCTGGAGAAAACCTATTTAACAATGCTTTTTTCTTAAAGTGTTTATGCGTTGCCAATTAAGCCGATTACAGAAAGGACATGCGACAGACGAGTGGTTTCAACTCAGTTCCCATATACCACTGAAAGGTATTGAGCCAGGATCTTTGCGTGTTCGAGCACGATATTCTATGGAGAAGATCATGCCAGAAGAGGAGTACAGTGAGTTTAAAGAGGTATTACATTTTTTTCCTCATTTTTTTCTGTCAAAATCAGTTTCTCTGTTGTTTGAGAGAAATTTCCGTAACACAGATGTTGCTAAGTTGTATTTGTGGCGACTGTTATTTTAGCACAAATTTCTGAACATTGTTTTGGTTTTTTTTCAGCTCATACTCCAGAAAGAGATGCATGTAGTCTATGCCTTATCACATGTTTGTGGCCAGGATAGAACACTGTTGGCTGGCATTTTATTGAAGATATTTCTTCATGAAAAGCTTGAGTCACTATTGTTACGAACACTAAATGACAGGGAAATAAGCATGGAAGGTACTGTACTAATTACACTAACATTCGCTGAAACTGGGGAGGGAATGACTCCTATGTCTTAATTTCTGTCTCCTCTCTTTATTGCATCATATATCAAACCGGTAACATAGCTTATTTTTCCCCTCTGCTTTTTGTTATCTCATTTTCTCAACTTTATACTTTATTTTTTTCAGATGAAGCTACTACTTTGTTTCGTGCCACCACTTTAGCAAGTACACTTATGGAGCAATATATGAAAGCCACAGCAACACGTTTTGTTCATCACGCACTGAAAGACAGTATATTAAAGATAATGGAGAGCAAGCAGTCCTGTGAGGTGATAACTTGAACGATGTTTTTAAATTTTGATTTGTTGAAATGATGATCTACTGGTTATTTGCTTTAGAAGCATTTATTAATACTTCAGAAATAATTTCAGTACTGGAACTGAACTGATTATGAGTTTTTTTTCTAAATGTGAGCTTGGACAATGTTCATAGCATCACTTTTAAATAAGCTTTTAAACTCAAATTTCTTTAAATTATGTATTTATTCTTTAGCAGTTGTATGTTCTGTTGTAGCAGTTACTGAATGGCTTATCTTAAATAACTTGTTTTAAGCTCCAGATATGCTAGAAGCCAATGTCTGAACTAAGTTTAATTTTTAAACTCCTCTTACATTAACTGCTTGTGGTAGATCCTACCTTTATTTCTAAAACAACTCTCCTAACTTCTGTTTCACTTGAACTTAATTATGGAAAGGGGAGGGCTGTGTCCTCAGAATACTGGATTAAAAGATGAAAATATACATAGTTAGGAAAAGGTGAGTACTTGTAGATAGTGTTAAATGTGCTGTTAAAAGCATAGTGCACTAGAACTTAAAAATTTTGCTTTTTTACATTAGTTTTCTGCCTAGCCCTTGAAACAGATTTGTAAGTTCTGTACGAGATTTGTACAGCAGTAGAATATTTAATTTATTTTGAAATAGTATTCAGTGTGTAATATTATCAAATTATATATGTAGTTCTATTCAAGAGACAAAACTTATGTCTTTTTTCCCTTTTGGTTTTAGTTAAATCCTTCGAAGTTAGAAAAAAATGAAGATGTAAACACTAATTTGGCACATCTACTCAGTATACTTTCGGAATTGGTGGAGAAAATATTCATGGCTGCAGAGATACTGCCTCCGTAAGTTTGCACTCTTCTGTTCAAATTTGTACTTGCAAATTCCTGTTTGTTGTTTACATTGCACCATAAAAATTGTGGTTTTTTGGTTTATCTTATATTAATCAGTACTAAAACTAAATTCTTTAGGGCTGTGTTGTGGGTTAGGTTTTTCAGGGAATTTCTTCCCATCTGTCATCTGAAAAAGACCCTGGGAGAAGAAGGGGGTGGCACCTGGAGGATGAATAGAAGGTGATTGAGTTAACAAAAGAGTGGCTGATGACCCTGGCTGAAGCTGATTCATCAATTGGAGAGCCAAGGATTAAGCAGTAATACTCAATCACTCTTGAATAGTTCCATATGGCCTGCAAAAGTCTGGCAGAGAGTGGAGACTAACAGTGGACTATCACGGCCTGAATGAAATCATGTCATGGTTTAGTGCTGCCATACTGGACACCAAGGAACTCCAGTATGAGCTGAAGTGGCTGGTCTGTGGATAAGTGTATGCTAGAACAGGTACGCCTCCAAAGGGACTGCAGCCCATGGAGAATCCATGCTTGATCGGGGGCAAGGCATGGAGTTCATTGTAATGTTAAACTCTATAGCCTGGTCCAAAACGATCAGGAGTGGAGATTGTAATGGATATGTGATTAAACTGGTTGTAACCCATGATTTGATTTGTATGCTAGAAGTAATACTATAAAAGAGACCACCTGAACTAGTGGGGGATGAGCATTGCAAAAAGCAGTGCAAGTGCAGCAGTGACACAATCTGAGCTGCTTTTGGTGCCAAATGAAGCCACATAATGCACAACTTCTGTTCCAAGTGACCACCCTAACAAAGCCCAGGTTACAGACTAAGAGAACTGAATGGACATTCTATGGACACTTTGGGGGGAGGGGGGGCTATAGACTAAGGGAATGATATCTGTATGCATACTAAAGGATAGGAAGGAGGGATGGTGGTTAATGAGGATGTACTGGACAGTGTACAACCAAAGCATATTATGCAAATGGTATGGAAAAAGAGATGGAGATTATTTTCTTCATAGCAGCCTGAATAGTGTTCTCTTTTTGATTTGTGGCTAAAACAATTTTTATAACTGTAATGAACGGGGCTTATGCCTTCATTAATGTTCAACTCTTTATTAAAAAAGATCTGCTCGGCAGGGGGCTAGACACGGAGCTCGCCCCCACTGTTGTAGCTTTTTCCCAGTAGCCGAAGGGGGAGAAGGCCTGCAGAGTCTGTGAAGTCTCCATGGCACACTGGTAGCTAGAGGTGAAGAGGTGTGCAGTCTGTATCTGAAGTCCCAGCAGACCGTCCTCTCTCCTTTCCTCCTGGCACACTGGTAGCCGCAGGGTGGGGGGATGTGCAGAGCCTGCTGCCGAAGTCCAGCAGCAGCTATCCCTCTCCTTCCCTCCTGGTAACACCAGGAAGAGTTGTTCCTTTGTTTCTGCTTCCCACAGCCCAGTCCGGTCCTCTGCAGGTTATGGTGACAAGTCAGACACAGACTAGGGATGGGGTTCCCTTTTCCCTAATGAGCACACCCATCCAGCCCCCTCCACTGTGCCCAGCCTTCCATTTAGGGGTGTTTTCATCCCCAAAATCCCCTCCCATGATTCCACTGGTCTCTCTATTTTGCATCCCAGTCCTAGAATGGTAGTGTGTGGGGGGGGTGTAGGTGATACCCAGGAGCAATTAGCTAATTAACAATGTCAGTACTTAGCCCAAGCCAAGTGTCCCAGCAAGGCTGTTTTGTTCATAACAATAACAAACCCGTGTTTTGGCTGAACAGTGCTTGCACAGTGTTGAGGGTTGTATTTTCTCTCCCCATTCTGCCCTATCCCCCAGTAAGTAAGCTGGACATGGGTAAGAAGTTGGGAGGGGAAACAGCTGGGATGGCTGACCCCAACTGACTAAATGGATATTCCATATGATAATGATGTTTTGCTTTGCAATAAAACTTCAGAGAAAGAAGGATGAAGGAGACACATTTTTGAATTGCTGCATTTGTCTTCCCAAGTAACCATTATGTATGATGGAGCCCTGCTTTACTGTAGATGGTTGAACGCCTGACTGACAATGGGAAATACTGAATTAATATAATTTGCTTTTGTTATAACTGGAAATTTATACAGCCAAATTAAAAATAAAAATAGTTTTATTAGCAGTCAAATTCTATCTAGCCAGCCACGAAAAAAAACAGTGCCAAGCCCGGGGATCGACCCTGGGTGTTTGACAAGGAGTCAGCCTCAGGAGAGGTCTTCCCCTATGCCCACACACCTCCATCCTGGCACAAGCGGTTTTTATAGGGAAAATTCCACCTGAGGCCAAGATGTCGGCAGTCAGTCTTTTCTTCCATTCAGAGTCCATAGGTTAATAAGATTTTCTTTTCTGGTGATGAGGAAGAACAATTCAGTGTCTGGAGTTGTTGAATCCCTTGATGAAATTTACGGGAACGCTGCATTCACATGTATCTGCCCGAGGATTTCCGTGATATCCATCTCTGGTCAGTTATGTGATGATCAGCACCTGGGAGGTATCTCTCTAGACATGGCCCATCTCCTGGCTGAGCCACATCCTTTTATCTGTAAATCGGGTTCCAATATACACCAGGTCTCACCTGCAAGGGTGGGGGGGGCTTCTAATACAAACGAGCATAACCTAACAAGTATCCAGTATTAAATATTTCATACAAGGAATGGCACGAATTATGTTTACTACACATAACAATCTCCCACCTTCTATATTAACCCATTAATTCATGCCCTAATTTCTACCCCTATTGACCTTCAAGATTTCTTTATTAGAAAAAAACATTCTATTCCCCTTTTATTAATTTTCCCCATTCTAGTCTACATCTGGAATTCCCTGGTAAACTTTGTAGTTTTGTTTTTTTTCCTTTTATTCATCTTTCAAACTTTGCTAGAACCTCAGCTGCCCTGCTGTGAGGAATTTTTTCTCCCAGTGTCATTATTCTTGGTACCTGAATTGTTTTCCTACAATTTCTGAATATAACCCTCCCTGTCTGCTAAGGCAGAATGTCCCAATTACTCGTTGTTCTAGTACCCACCCCTCCGGTCTCTGGATTATTTTGGGGGTCCCACCAGTTTCCCATTTTAGTAGTTGCTCAGGAGTCAAACCCTCGCCACTCCAAGGCCATTTTTCAGTGGATTTTAGCCCCCCACAGACCCAGCAATTAGACAACCTTAGCTCTGTGGCAATTTCCTGCATCAGATCCACAAAAACATTTTGATCTGAGGCAGGTGTGAGAACCCCGGGATTGATTCAGGGGTCTTGTGTGGTGGTAAAGTCTCTCCTCCAACCCGTGCTTCCAAAGAAAGACTCTGCAGCCTCTTGTTGTTCGGTCTCAAGGCAGTTTATTGCTAGCTATCTAAAAGATTGTCTTCGCCCGCTGCGGCTGCCTAGATCAGCGGCCCAGGCAGAGACACACACACTCCTGACACCCTCACTGTCCGGTGTCTCCGTCGTCTCTCCCCGCCCAAGGCTGCTGCTATCTTTTATATGATATATTACGTATTATATGTTTACAGATTTTCCCCAATACCTACTATCCATGTTACAATGTGCTTTTCTACTCTAAACCAATCTGTGAATGCCAACATCACCAAGAACATGGAGGTAAGGAAGAAGAAGGAGGAAGAACAGAATCAGGCCCACTTTCCTCCATCTTAGAACTCCTGACCCCCATGTACAAAGTAAAACCCCCCTGTACAGGTGTTAAAACCCCCCTGTACAATACTAAAAAATTTTTCCCTCTAATTTGTGACTACTTTTACTATACCATCTAACTCTCTGTGACCGCTTGTTCCACCTTCAAAGTTGGTAACTCATTCCATGGTTCAAACTCAAGATCACAGCTGTTTTCAGCTGCTTGCCAGGGTCTAAAATGCTTCTGACCAAGGCCTGGAACCTCTGAAAATGTCTGAGGGACATTTTGAGTTCCGACAGGCAGGCAATCCCCATTTTGCATATTGTTTTTCCAATTGGTCATACTGTTCGCTTAGGGATTTCAGCCTTTCTTGTTCTATTCTCTTTTTCCTTATTTCAGCTTCCTGTCTTTTTACCTCTTGCATTACCTGTTTCATCTTACTTTCTGGATCCATCCCTTCTTTATCCTTGGTGAAACAAAACATTTTATCATACTGTATGTTATAAATGAAAATTTGTCCAGCCAAATTAATATGAAAAAATGAAGCATTTATTTTGCAATCAAATTCTATCTAGCCAGCCACAAGGAAAGAACAGAGCCGAGCCCGGGGTCAGCCCTGGGTGTGCAACAAGGAGTCAGCCTCATCAGAGGTTTTCCTCCATGCCCACATGCCTCCATCCTGGCACAAGTGGTTTTTATAGGGAAAATTCCGCCTGAAGCCAAGATTTCAGCAATCAGTGTTGCCATGCGAGATCGGCTCCGGGCGGACGCCTGTGGGCACAGCGAGGAGGGAAGGAGAGGGTGGCCGCTTTCCCCTCGTCTCTGCGAGGCTCAGTTTTCGCGCGGGAACAGACAAAAGGGCGACACGGGACTCGGGTGCAAACACGTGTTTATTGTGGGAGCGTGTTCCCCGAGTCCCCGGTGGACCGAGCCCCGCTCGGAGATAAGGGAACAAAGGGTCGGGACAAGGGACCACGGGGGGAAGGTGGAGTGAGATGGGAACGCAGGACAAAGGGAGAACGCGAGGGAAGGGGAATGAGGGGGGGGAAGAAGAGAAAATTACAAATCCTGCAGCTCACTCTTTTGAAATTACATAAAGGAAAGGGAGTTCTGAGGTAAAAACAAATTAGCAACGTTTAAATTCGAGAGACATCAGAAAGTTATACACCAGTCATAGTTACAATGAATGGGGCAAAAATCTTTTCCACATTACAATTTAAGATAAAGGGTACAAAATTATCATAAACACATTCTGTATCGAGGATGAAAGCAGGATTCATGACGCGATGCTTGTGGTTTTTCGAATTTTAGCAGAGCAGAAGCAGGCAGCGAACAGCGATGTGGTTTCTCC